TATTTATTTGTTTATATAAATCCATCTATTCATTCATCTGTTTATTTGTACACTCACTCATATTCAGCTATATATTCGTGGTTATATTGATTTCTTTGTTGCTGAGTAGTGAAAAAATAGGGAGGAAAAAGAAGCGGGGAAAACGTCGTTGCTTGGATGCGATATACAGTGGCGGGCAGGATAATACGACCGATGCCTGAAAATTTCTTTTGCCACTGCTGTTTCCTACTTAATAACTCCAATGAGCAAAAGATTCTTCTGGTTCCCTCTAGTTGCACAATTAGGAGAATGACGAGGTAATTATTCTGCAAAAACCCTTAAAATAAGCGCTTTTTAATATAAATTACTTGGATCATTGGGAATGAATATGGTAAAAATAAACTGACACAAGAGAAACGTCAAGATTTAAAGGTATCATGAGTCTTACTGGTAAGAAATAATAAAATAAAACTTGAACTCAATGCTTCGTAGCATGACCTTTCTGAACTATCACTAGCTGTAATATACTGTGCACTAAGTCCACGAAACGCTCACACTTATTTACCGTAACCTTCGTCCAGTCGTTCTCAATTACTTTTGCTAGAGCCTTAATATCATTAAGGTTTTTGTGTTTTTATGTACTCGTTGCTGTGTTTCGGTAGTGTATTAATGGGCTTTATATTAGGGGTTGAGCCACTTGCCTTAAAGCTTTGTTCTTTATTTTTTTGTTATCAATTTTTGTTTAGCTATATGTTTTGGCTTATTACATTTTACTTAAAGATGGAATTCAAAGGAACCTTCTCTCCTGTGTGAGGCAAAGAGACATTTTCAGATATTTTGACAAACCAATAGGAAATCGAGATGCTTGAAGTTTCGGAAATCGGACTCAAGTTTTTGCGACTCACAAGATTCCAAACCATCACTGAACCTCCATTGCGTGTAAGAGTCTCTACTGTAAAGCAATATTAAATTTTCCACTCTTCTTTCGTCTTACACAAACTCTGCTATCATTATTTGTTCAGTTAGATTTGCCTGCAGATACTGCTCTCTAATTACCATCAGGACTCTAGTTAATATTTACTCTTCTGAACACCAAGTACTGTTTTTGGTCGCCTAAAAAAGTGAACTGATTTTGCACAGCAGCACGTCTAAGTAGTTCGTACGCAAGCTCGATAGGTTTGAACCTCTTTTTAGATATCTACAACATCTAGTTGTTTTTCCTATACTGGTCGGTTTTGAATTTATTTGTTCAATTAGATTAATGTCATTCCCCTCTCTTCTTCTAATTTTTTTTTGAATGTCTGTTGGACTTTGATGAGTTATGCAAGCAAGCTTAAATTTACCTTGCTTTTCCTCTATTTTGGAAGAAGCTCTATTTTTGTACCAGCTCACAAGTAATCTCTTTTTCAAATTCGTAAAATTATTTCAAAATTAGCAAGCTTAGAAGACAGGCTTTACATGAAAAAAATTGAATCAGGTCATTGATGGAAAAGGCTGAAAAAATTAAGAAGACGAAATATGATATGAGTTTTTTGTTGCTCTGAATAGTTACTTCTTCCGTTAAAGCCCACACCAGCCATTCATTCGGTGAGAAGTAGTAAATCTGCCTGTTGTATTGTTGTTCAGCATAATCTTTTGCTACACTTCTATCGTCTTAACAACAAAAAGGGTCACAGAAATTTGAAAAGTAATAGATACGCAAATGTACATCGATCGTATTATCTCACTCGCCACTGGACATATTACAAATGAATCTGTGTATTATACATACTCTTTAGTTTTTATTCATTTTAGGCATTGTGTGTTCTGTTGGTTACTGTGTTTCTTTAAGGAAGGAAAGGAAAAAAAGGTAGAGGAGGGGAAAAAGGAAAAAAGATTTTTGCTATTAAATCTTTAAATGTTGGCTTACTTTATCAACCATGCAGCGACCGGGACGACAATTTGGAGGTGAAACTTCATTTCATTTTTTTTTTTTTTTGTATCGTGTTTATAATTATTTTTGATTTTTGTTTCGTTTATCGGTCTTTTCAAAATTATTATTGCCATTATACTAATATATATTTATTTGCCCTTGTTGAATGGTAGGGTGGGAGAGAAGAGAAGGCGGGCTAGGAGGTTTGAACATTTTATTTATTTCACGCATTCAAATTGTACAGATTGAGCTTAGCTTGAAAGCTTTTTTTT